TCCTTTTGGGATTTTGGTCATGAACACACATGTGCCTGACGTGTTTCAAGTGGACTCCAACCATGACTGGCCATGTGGCAGTCCAGCGCCTTAACTACTGTGCTACCTGCTGGCACCAAGGGAGTAATTTTTCAAGTAATACTATAGTTACAATAAATCAAGTTTCCTAGTATACAGTTGATCTTCTAAATTGATCTTAACACAGGAGGTTAAATGCTAGAATCAAGGATTTAATTTTTTTTTTGGAGAGGTTTTTCGCTATAGGGCGCGTGAGCTTGCCAGACAGACAGAGACATAGAGACAGAAAGCGAGAAATCACCCCCCAGGGGGGATGGTCACGCTGCAGTCCCTTCTCCTCCATTCTCTTCTCGGGATCTTGGGCACGCACGCACACGCGCCCGGCGTGAGTTTTAAGCCACTGGGTCCGGGACAGGAACTGCGGTTGACTACGTGGGAGTCCAGCAACATAGCCATTACGCTAACTGCTGGTTCCCAAGGATTTAATTTTGATAACCCTTCTTAGAAGGCTTCCTGGAGAAGGAGAAATGTAAACTGAAAACAAAAAACAAAAACTGAGCAACAACGACAGCAGCAAACTTACTTTTTTGGAGGGAGAGATTTTTGCTACAAGTCACGTGTGCTCACTCGAGACAGAGCAAGGCAGAGAGACAGAAAGTGGGAAATCCCCCCCGCCCCCAGGGGGAATGACCACGCCATAATTCCTTCTCTTCCATTCTCCTCTTGTAATTTCAGGCACACATGCATATATGCACACACTCCCACCATGAGTTTCAAGCCTCTGGGTTTGGGACTCAAACCGCAGTTGGCTATGTGAGAGTCCAGTGATGTAACCATACATAACCAAGTACAAAAGCTGTCTGCTTTTGTACTTTTGCACTTTTTTGAAAATGTGTTAACAACTAATTACTATGAACCTTTTTCACAGAAACTGCATATATTTAAACATAACAATATTTTGCATATAATTTCATAGGATTCTTAGTTTTCGCCCAAATTCTCTTTTGAAGGTATGGGAAAGTATATTTTCTGAGTAACTTATGAATGAAGATAAAGAGCCTGCAAGGTGGATTTCAGGAAAAGTGAGTTGATCAGAGCAAAGGTGACTGAGAAATAAAGAGTTTAGGTTGGACAGACTCTGAAATGTGAAAATTTTAGAACTTTTTAACCTCTTCTCCAACATTTTATTACTGTTGACTGTCTTCTCTTCCCTCACATTCATTTCAGAGTTTTTTTCTCGTGTGAAATCAATCTCTCTCTTCGTTTTCTTTTTCTGTCTCTTAAATTGAGATTTTCTTCAGAGTTTTCCTTAGTTTTTTCTTCTTTCTGATTTTTACTTTCATATTAAGATTACTGAGGCTGGGACCAGCAGATGGCATAATAGCTATGTGGTTGGACTCCCATGTAGTTGACCACAGTTCAAGCCTCAGAACCGGTGGCTTAAACTCATGCCGGGGGCGTGTGCTTGTGTGCTCAAGATCCTGAAAGGAGAATGGAGGAGAAGGGATTGTAATGTGGCCATCCCCCTTGGGGAGTGATTTCTCGCTTTCTGCGCCCTATTGCAAAAACCTCTCCAAAAAAAAAAAAAAGAGAAAATTAAAAAAGATTGTTGGGGCCACCAAGCAGTGTGATTATTAAGGCTCTGGACTCCGACATGGCCAACCATGCTTTGAGTCCCAGACCTGGTGGCTTGAAAATGACGCTGGGAGCGTGTGCCTAAGTACCCAAAATCCTAGGAGGAGAATGGAGAAGGGATGGTGGTGTAGCCATCCCCTGTTTGGGGTGATTCTCACTTTCCCTTTCCTTGACTCTCTCTGGCAAACACACTGGCAAAAACCTAAAAAAAATTTACTTTAGTTAACAGCTGTTTATTGATTTCCCAATCTCTCTTTGCCTTGTGTAGAACTTCAGACCTTGATCACTGCCCAGTTACATGTCTGCCAGAATATTCCATAAATATTAAATTAAAAAATTCCCGGACTGTATTCCTCTCATCCACTGTAGTCCTTGCTCAGTATTTCCTATTTTGTCATTGACATCCCCTAGCCAAAGTCCTTTTTGTCTATATTCCACTGCTGTGTTAACTCCTTCTGTGCATAATTGTATTTATTTCAGTGTTGTCTTTTAGGTCTTATGATTCTCCTTATCATTATAAGTAATTTATGTAATTAAATATTTTGCCACAAAAATATCACCCTGTTAGTATGTGAGTATTGAAACATAAAACCAGATCTGTCTAATACGAGATCTATATTTCTTTTTGAGTTTTCACACTATCACCCACTTCCATGACTTGAAAAGAATATTAAATATTTATACCTCTAGGTTTAACTGAAAGAATTTTATTTCAGAGTTAATGATAGTTTTTTTTTTTAAAGAAATCTAGTAGAGATTTCTGTTCAGTCCATTGTAGAAGATCCATAAGAAATCTCATGTAGCAATTATACATTATATTTTCTACCAGCAACTTTTATTTGTATAAACAAATCATGTATGGAAACCAAATATATAAAATAGATTAAGAAAAAAATAGTGTTTGAAAGAGATGAAAGCTTCAAAGGGTCTCATGGCAGCTCTTTGGTGGCTCCTGAAGAGATGCAGGTTTAAATTTTTTAATTTATGAATTAGGAAAATATTCACAATATATTATTTGAAAAGCTAAAGTAAAACAATATATACAGCATATTCTCACTTCGCTAAATATATATTCGAATGTACATATAACCAATAGGCTGGAAAGTTATGCATCAGATATGGATTCTGGTTATTCTATAATTTAAAAATTATGGATGTGTTTTATTTTTCCCACATTTTCTGCAATTAATAAAAATTAATAGAGATTTATAGAAGCAAAATTCCCGGGACCAGCAGCTGGACTCCCACTAGTCAACCACAATTTGAGTCCCAAACCAAGCGGCTTAAAACTCATGCTGGGCATGTGTGTCTGTGTGCCCAAAATCCCAAAAGGAGAAAGGAGGAGAAGGGATTGAGGCATGGCCATCTTCCGGGGCGGATGCGGGGGAGGGAGTGATTTCTCACTTCCTCTCTCTATCTTTCTCTGTCTCTCAAGCATGTGCACTTGTCCTATAGCAAAAATCTCTCTCTTAAAAAAAAAAAACAAGGCAAAACTCCATAATGTTATTGAAAAGTCAATGAAAGAAAATAAAAAACCAACCCAGAACACACTGCATATGATTAAACATACATGCATGTGCACAAATAGAAAGTGAAAGAAAGAAAGAATCCAGCGACTGTTGTGCTGTAAATATTGGCTTAAAGCCCTTGAATACCTGTGTGGCAAGGGCCCACGCATCATTCTTTGAATAACAACCTTGGTTATCAACCTTGTTTTAGGTTGGGCTAAAGAGTAGATCTTTAGAGATGGTCCGTTTGGTTTAAATCCTGTTTCTACCATTCTTTTCTGTTTTATTTATTTATTTATTTTTCAATGAGTAAGAGAGGCAGGCAGACAAATGTAGAGACAGCAGCTCCAATAGGGTCTTGAAGCTGTAGTTTACCTACCCCCGATTAGTCATTTCCAGATAATGATCCCATGTACACCCCATGTACTCAGGCAGGTCTCTGGACATGAACTCAAAACCTTCCCATGTGTGTCAGCCTTGCAGAGCATCACATTTTACTGCTGTCCCACCATCTGGCCCCTCACTCTACTATTCTTTGTTTGATCTTAAGCAAGTTGCATAATAGTGCCTAAATTTTTCTCATCTCTGACAGAAAACCTACCTTACAGAGAGTTGTTAGGATTAGATGAATTGGGTCAGTAGGTGGTGCAGTGGTTAAGGGACTGGGCTTCCACATGGTCGACCATGGTTTGAGTCCTGGACCCAGAGGCTTAAAGCTCATGCCAGTTGCATGTGTGCACATACCCAATATACCAAAGGATGGAGGAGAGGGGATTGTGGCATGGCTATCCTTCTGGGGGATGATTTATCACTTTTTTCCTCTCTGTCTCTCTGGTGAGGTGGCACACCCCATAGGAAAAAAAAATCTCCCTTAAAAAATAAACGAGTAGATGAATGAATTCAATAACATGCTTACAGCAATGCCTGGCACTTAGTAAGTGATCAGTATTAGTCATGATTATTATTTTATGTCTTTGGAGTTACTTTCTTTCTAAACTCTGCCTTCTCCTCTCCCCAGAGTTGGCTAAAAATTCCAGACTTTATAAGAAAAGTCACAGTTCTTATTTATATTTAGTTTCTTACATAGGTCACTGTGAAGCAAGTTATTTTTTATTTATTTATTTTTTTTGAGAGGTTTTTCTATAGGGCGTGCACACTCTCCAGAAACACAGAGAGAGACAGAGAGACAGAAAGCAAGAAATCACCTCCCGGGGTGGGGATGGCCATGCCATAATCCTTTCTCCTCCATTCTCTTCTCGGGATCTTGGGCATGCACGCGTATGTGCCCGGTATGAGTTTAAGTCACCAGGTCTGGGACTCGAACTGCGGTCAGCTACATGAGAGTCGAGTGACATAGCCATTACGCCAACTGCTGGTCCTTTAGGGTGCTATTTTCTATTAAGCATTCTCCAATGTGGGTATAACTTGGAACACTAAAGAAAGTGAATTTATATGTGAATTTATATTGAACCAGAGGCTAAAAAATTCTAAAAAGTTTAGAAAGTTTTCAGTTTTAAAGCAAAGGTGCTTGTATCTGTTTTTAATCATTATTTTTATAGATATGTAGTTTCTCTGAAAGTTGGGTTAGTAAGGCGTACTATACCGTAACTGCCCACCATAGGAGGCTGTTTGTTTTGTGGTTAAAATACAGAACTCAGGGTCACTGAGCTATGTGGGTAATCTGTATAAATTTATATGCTTTTGAAATATAAATATTAATTTTAATGTTAACACATTTTGACACTTAGGAGGAATATTTTGGACATTAGGAATTAATAGACCAAATAACACGTTCTCAGGGTCAGAGCACCAACTCACCGTTACATCCTTGTCTTCCAGGTGATTTTACGAGATGCTGCTCTCCATAGGGATGCTCATGCTGTCAGCCACCCAAGTCTACACCATCCTGACTGTACAGCTCTTTGCGTTCTTAAACCTGCTGCCTGTAGAAGCAGACATTTTAGCAGTAAGTACAGTAAAATTTATGTGTTAAAATATCCCTGAGTGATAGACTCTTATAAGGTATTTACTTTCAAACATAGCCAAGCACATGTACATGATTAATTGAAAGTGGGATACTTTATTCATTCATTCTTTTTTTTTTTTTTTGGAGAGGTTTTTGCTATAGGGTGTGTGTACTCGCCAAAAAGACAGAGAGAGAGACAGAGAGATAGAAAGCAAGAAATCACCCCCCAGGGGAGATGGCCACGCTGCAATCCCTTCTCGGGATCTTGGACACACACGCACACACGCCCGGCGTGAGCTTAAGCCACCAGGTCCGGGACTTGAACCGTGGTCGACTACATGGGAGTTCAGCAACACAGCCATTATGCTAACTGCTGGTCCCTTATTTATTCATTTTTTGATTGCTTAATATCTACTATAAGATCTCCTATTCTATATATACCTGATAAATGCTGTTGTTCTTTTTGGTTTATTTATTTATTTATTTTTGGTTTGCTATAGGGTGAATGTGCTCACTAGAGAGAGAGAGAAGGAAAGTAAGAAATCACTTCCTGGGGGTCAGCCACACCGTAATCCCTTCTCCAGTCTCCTCTGGAGATTTCAGCCATGAATGTCCTCGCGCCCTTCATGACTTTTCAAACCATTGGGTCTGGGACTTGAACTGTGCCATTTGGGATCCAGTGCATTAACCTCCATGCCACCTGCTGGCCCAGTGTTGTAGCTCTCGAGAGTGCGTGTACACATTAGTGCCCGTGTACACACACTTACGTATTTGTGTTGTTACTTGAGTCTTAACTGTTTTCCCTGGTTCCTAATAAAGCTCTAATGACCCTACACTTTCAATAGTATCTGTTGATAATATCTTAAGAAATTCTACAACATCTTCATAGAAAGTTTCAGCCTTGCATTAATATATTCATGAATCAGAAGAGAAGTAAAGTTGTCCTATCTTTGTATAGAAGTGTTTAGGTTTTATTCCGCAAACCTTAGTAGTGTTCTCTAGGCTGCCTTACCGTCCTTACTGAGAAGTATGTGTATTTCCTATTTCTAATTTTTAAAAAAATTATTTTATTTAACTTTATTTATTTTTAATTTGGCCAGAGAGGGACAGAGAGAGAGGAAAAGTGAGAAAGTAAGCCAGCGGGTCCGGGATTTGAACCGTGGTTGGCCATGTGGGAGTCCAGCGTCCCTACTCACCACGACACCTGCCGACCCCTCTATTTCTAATTTTTGTGAAGGAAGAGAAGGAGGAATTAATTGTGTGTGCGTGTGTGTGTGTGTGTGCACCCACAAGTACACGCTCCTAGTCTGTGCTAAGGATTTCTTGTTTTTGCTTTCTGGGTGCAGCTCATTTGTTTTTTTAAAAGGCGAGAGTGAGAAGGGCCATGATTCTTGCTCACCAAAGCTGATGTGGCCCTCAGTTGTGCTTCCGTGTATCATGGCACTTCTGGAAGATTCCTCCATTATTACAGAAATTGTAAGAGCCGGGCTGTGTGTGTGTGTGTGTGTGTGTGTGTGTGTGTGTTTTCCCTTTGTACTACTAAAGCTCTTAAAGGCAAAACAACAGTGGTAGTACACATGAGATTTCTTACCCTCTGTCACCTTCTTTAGTAGGGAACAGGTTGATTAGAGTTTTTCGAGCTAGTCTGAGTCTTTTTGAGGAATGGAAGGAAAACATTTAAGGACTAAGCCCATTACTATTCAGACCTCTTCTCTAAATTCGCCCCAAAGTCCTTGGAATATTCTTGAGTTCCTTTTGAAATGAGTTACAGGATTTATGAACTGATCAGGGCATGAAATTCTTGCCTTCCTTTCACCTTTGATTTCTTGAGTTTTGTCCCTTTTTTTCCTGTTGTTTCTAATGCCTATCTGATGCCCTGGTCTAATTTCTTTCTTTTGTAAGTGAAGTGGATTGTTATTCTATAATCCATTTGTGTGGTGGGTTAAATGATTTTCAGTGGATTGCTGTGAAAATTTAACCATTTATGTGACCTAGATCAAAGTACGTGGCCGCTCTAAGTGCCTCGGTTCCTTTACTTGAAAACTGCAGTGCTGTGGTGATGTTTAAATAAGGTAAACAGCTTACAGCAGTATTTGACTCAGAGCACGTGTTTTATTTATCATTTTTATCTTCGTTATAATTACCATTCAGTTCATCCTTCACTCACTCCCTTGCAAGGTATGCGCTTGCTCACCTTGTATTTTTCAGGGTAGAGATAAAACAAACATCAGAATCCTTGTTGTCAGCAGTGTTCCCTATGCTTCGGGTAGTTGAGTGTGGAATGTGAGTTGATGTCATCCTGAAGGGACCATTAGCACGGGGGCTGCCTAGGTGTGGCCCCTGTGCCCATGTGAGTGCCCAGGTCGCTACAGTGGAGTGGGTTGTGAAGGCACACAAGTGGCTTGGGGAACTAAAAATTGAGGCAGAGGAACTGGATGTGATACATCGTTCAAAGGGGTACGTGAAGGGGTTGAAAATAGTAGCTCTTACTTATTATTATTTTGGTTTTTTTAGTTTTGCTTTAGGGCACGTGCACTTGTGGGAGAAGGAGACAGAGAGAGGTAGTGTGAAAGTCATCCCCCAGGGGGTATGGCCACAGTCCCTTCTCCATTCTCCTCAGGATTTTGGGCATGCACGCATACATGTCTGGCATTTTTTAAAAAAAATTTTAAGGTTTTGCCACAAGCAGGTATCCTAACTGGAAAGAGACAAAGTGAGAAATCACCCCTCGGGGGGATGGCCATGGCACAGTCCCCTCTCCTCCATTGTCCTCTTGGGATCTTGGGCACTCACGCACATGTACCTGGCATAATTTTCCAGCTGCTGGTTCTGGGGCTCAAACCGGTTCAGCCATGTGGGAGTCCAGCACCTTAATCACCATGCCACCTGCTGGGGCCTATGGAGCAATTTTAAGAGGCAATTTGAGACAATCCTTATTTTGCTGTTAAGGAAAGAAAAAGTGGTTTCAAAATGTGTCTGACTCAATAATAAAACTTACTCCAAGTCTCAGTGTTACAAATGTGTAGTTCAAGTTCGACATTATAGTTCTGAAATTTCAGCCATGAAAGCAACACTCGTCAATAATAAATGATAAAAGAATACTTCAGTGCAGTTGTAGATTTTTAATTTCTTGAGCATAAAATGCATTTTTTTGTTTTGTTTGGTTTTGGGCTAGAGGGTATGTGCATTTGCCAGAGAGAGACAGGGAGAGAGGTGAGGAGAGATTACCTCCTATGGGGCATGGTCATACCGCAGTCCCTTCTCCACCTCCTCCTCCTTTAGGGGTTTTGGGCATGCACATACATGCACGCAGTGTGTTTCTCAGGTCTCCAGTTCTGGGACTTGAACCCCATGGTCAGCCATGTGGGGTCTGGCAGCCCTTGTCTACCAGGCCACTGAGCCAGCCCAGTGCATTTTTTTTTATAAAGAATTATTGTACTTAACTTTTTAAAACTTATTTATTTTTTATTTAAATTTGACAGAGAGGGACAGAGCGAGTGAGTGAGTGAGTGAGAGAGAGAGAGAGAGAGAGAGCAAGCTGCCAGGTTTGGGACTTGAACCACCGTCGGCCATGTGGGAGTCCAGTGCCTTTAACCATCATGCCACCTGCTGGCCCCACAGTGCATGTTTTTAAAGTGCTGCTTGTACACACACACATAGATATTTTCTTGATCTGTCTCCATTGATCTAAATCAGTTTCTTTATTTTACATGATGTCTTGGGTCTGGAGGAGTTAAATGGATTTTTCAAGTTCAACACAAAGCTAACAATGGTTAAATTACTGGGTTGTCTGGAACGTCATGATGCATTTTTGCATAGAGAAACATGTCTTGACTTTCCAGACAGCCTAATAATCAGTTAAAGAAGGGCGTTTCAATTATGAGATTAAACAATAAATTATGATGATGGATTTAAAAGCATTGTGACTCTAAAGTACTCTGTAAACTGTAGAGCACTCTGCAAGTATAAGTTATTGTTGCTATGGGAAATCACTCTGAAGCAATCACCTTAATATAGTTGGTGGCTGCCAAGTATGTTCCCAGGGGCTGAGTGTCCCAGAGGGAACACCGTGGATAGTTCAGTGACCAGAATCATGTGCTGGAATCACATAGTTTATTGAGTCAATTATCAACATACAGTGAGAAGCAAAGGCAAAAGAGGGGTATGTTAAGGCCCTCTGGATAGCGTTTGTGTGGAATCTAAAAACCGCTCTGCCCGCATCCTCATTCCTGTTAGTTTGTCCAGACGGTTTCTGTTCTACATTAGCTTTCCTGTAGTTACTAAGTCAAGCTGAGAGTAAACCGAGGGACCTGACCATGGAAGGTGTCTGGATCCAAGCTCGCTTTCTCTGTTGGGGAGATGAACCGCGCACAACCTGGCCACAGCTCTAATGCGCTGTTAAGCTAACCAGTGGGTGTTTGACCGATGCTGGGGCAGACTCTCTGAATGTGTTGACCTAATCCACGATGGTATTTTAGGTTTACTTGATTCTTCCATCATTTTCTGGCTTATTCATAACACTTTTGCTTTTTGACATCCTTTTTCTTTTTTTAAGGTGTTTGCTTTAGGGTACGTGTGCTTGCTGGAGAAAGACAGAGAGGGAAAGTGAGAAATCACCCCCTAGGGAGTATGTCTACGTCGCAATCCCTTCTCCATTCTCCCATCGGGATTTTGGGTACACAGGCACATCATCGCGTATCATTTTTCAAGCCACTAGGTGCAGACCTTGAACTGCGGTCAGCCATGTGAGAGTCCAGCACCTTAACTGCTTGCTATGATAACTACTGGCCCCCGACCTTTTTTTTTTTAAGTTTGTTTATTTCTCCCACAAGCAAGAGAGATGTATATAGAGAGAGACAGAGACACGCACTCCCCACTGGGTCTTCATGCCAGTCTGCCCCAGCATCAGCCAGCTTGGCTCGCGGAATGTGTGTGCCCAGTGTGTTCTAGACAGAAGTGTGGGACCTTGTCATGTGGGCTGTTCTTATAGAGCATCCTGTTACTGTGCCACCGTCTGGCCTTCAAAAGTTACTTGTTTATTATCTGTGGGACCAGCAAGTGGTGTAATGGTTACATTGCTGGACTCCCAGGTTGTGGACTGTGGATCAAGTTCTGGAACCAATGGTTTAAAACAATGTCGGGCACATGCGCTTATGCACCCAAAATCCTGAGAGGAGAAGGGATTGTGGCATGGCCATCCCTCCTGGGGGGGGTGATTTCTTGCTTTCTGTCTCTCTTTCTCTCTCTGTTGCTCCCTTTCCATCTCTCTGGTGAGTGTATGAGCCCTATGGCAAAAATCTCTCTTTAAAAAAAAAAAGTTACTTGTTCATTATCTGGGCGTAGCTTCATCTAGCTCCATTGTTTCTCTTGCTCTCTATATACAGATTGAACATTCTTGGATGAGGTAGCAAATTCACTTCACAATTACTATCATTGCCCTTATCTTCTAAAAGCACAGAGAACCTTTTGTTTTATTTTGTTTTGTTTTTGTAGAGGACTATTAAATATTGTAGCATAGAGATCTGTTTGGAAGGGGGTAAGTTGTTACAGACTTGGAATACTTTCAGCTTCCTCTGTACTCGTATATTTCATTGAATTTAGTCCTGTCATTATTTAGTGCTGGATAGAAATTTCAGCTTATATCAAAATTGACAATGCTTTAAAAGTATGAGTTGATGCTGCTTCTTCTCCTTGGAAAGGTCATCTTTCATCACTAGAATCAGAAATCCTGTAAAGCTTTTCTATTAAATTAGACTCTTATAATATTGAGAAAATAAAAGGGAACTTTCTTCCTGGAAAATGATCTGTCTTGAAAAGTTTTTGCTAGGAAATAAACTGCAGGGAGCATTCACAAAACAGTAGTTTGTTTAATGTTAGAAAATTATTGTTGCTGTTTGATGATAATATATGGAATCAATCCTATTTGTGCAGTTGTATATATTGTAAATGGTATATAGTTCTTGTTTAGTGGATACCCATTTACAAATTACATTTTATTGTGAAAAGCTGTAGCAGTAAGTCAGAATTATAGAAATGATCATTTACATAATTTAATCTTTTGTTTTTAATATTATGTGTAAAGTGGTTTTAACTTGATTCTTTTTTATTTTATATTTAGTATAATTTTGAAAATGCGTCTCAGACATTTGATGATCTTCCAGCAAGATTTGGCTATAGACTTCCAACAGAAGGTCTAAAGGTAAGAAAATAGTTTGCATGGTGAAGGCACAAAGTAATTAATCAGGTGATTATGTTGTTTATTTATTTACAGAATGAAAATATTTCTTACTATTTAGTATCATAAAACTCATAGTCATTTGTAAATGGTGTAGACTGAAAGGTCTAAAGAAGAAAGCGAAAATCACTAATGATTGCCTTATTCTGAATAGCTGCTAAGATTTTGGCACATAATATTTCAGACCTGTTTCCTGGGTTATGTGGCATGTGTGTGTGTGTGTGTGTGTGTGCGCGTGTAGATGTATATGCATATATATAATCATGCAATGCTTATATATACAGTGAATCAATATTTAACACTGATAGAAACATGCTACTAGGTTACTTGTGTTTTTCGCTTAATCATATATTTAGATCCTTTTTCCATGCTAATAGGGAAGGATCTACATTATTATTGGTAATGATGGCATGCTTTTACAGTATCATAAAATGCTATGGATTTTGAACATTGGTTTCTTTAAATTTTCATAGTGGATATTTAGACTGTTCAGTTTTTACTCTTACAAAGAGTGCTGCAGTGACTGTTTTCATTCTTAGGCGTTCATCCATTTGCCTCCCTAGGATTTATTTGCAAATGTAAATTGCTTTGTTTATGGCATACATATCAAGAATTTTGTTACATATTTCTAGGTTGCCCTCCAGAAAGTTTCAATTTCAAATTCCATCAGTAGTAATTGAGATGGTCTTTGTTCCTTCGAGTCTCAATATTATCACATTTTTGCTAATTTGATAAAAATATCTAATGAGATTGAACATTTAATGTTTTTTGCTGTGTGTGTGTGTTTATGAGGAAAGACAGAGGTAATTATGAATGTTCTTTTTCTCACTTTTAAATTAAGGTGTCCATCTTTTCCTTGTTGATTTATAAGAATCCTTTATATATTGGAAGAGTTCATCTATTATTTGCCACACATATGCTTCAGATCATTACTCCCAGTTTTTCCTTTATCTTTTAATTCTGTTTAAAGTTTCAAAGATTCGTGTATATATTTAAAAGCTGCTGTCTTAGGGGACCGGCAGCTGGTGTAATAGTTACGTCACTGAACTCCTACATGGCCTACCATGGATGGAGTCCAGACCCTGAGGCTGGAAACTCACACTGGGCATGTTTTCATGTGTTCCCAACATCCCAAGAGGAAAATGAAGGGGAAAGGATTGCGGCATGGCCATCCTCCCCCGGGGGTGATTTCTTGATTTCTATCTTTCTGTTTCTCTCTGTATATCTGGCAAATGCATACACCCTATAGCAAAAATCTCTCTCTCAAGAAAAAAAAAAAAAATTGCTGTCTTGGGGCCAGCAAGTGGCCTGGTAGTTAAAGTCATCAAGTCATCCGTGGTTTGAAGTCTCAGACCTGGTGGCTTGCTTTCTCACTTTCTCCTGCTCTCTCTAGTGAGCATACATGCCCTATAACAAATTAAAAATAATAATAATAAATAAAATTAAATAAAGAATTCTTTTAAAAAATTGCTATCTTTTCCTTCTACCTTGGAAGTCATAGTTAGAAAGTTTTTCCTGTTTCAGGATAATACGAGGTTTTTACGTTAAATTATTTGAATACGTGAAACTGTGTGGATTTATATAACAGAGTGTTTTCAGTTTGTTCTAACTTTCTTAAAATTGCTTATTTAAGTACCACAAACCTGTTTCTTCTTCTTCTTCTCTTCCTCCTCCTCCTTCTCCTTCTTCTTCTTCTTTTTTTAGAGAGATTTTTGATATAGGGCATGTGTGCTCACTGGAGACAGAGACAGAGAGAAAGTGAGAAATCACACACACACCCCCGGGGGGAATGGCCATGCCACATTCTCCTCTTGTGATTTTGGGCATATGCACATGCACCTGGCGTGAGTTTCAAATCAGTGTGTTTGGGACTCAAACCAAGGTTGGCCATGTGGGAGTCTAGCTCCTTAACCACTGCACCACCTACTGGCCTCCCTATTTATTATTCTTAATGATAATGTAATATTTTTATTTTGTTCTAACTTTCTCAAAGTTTCTTATTGAAGTACCTTAAACTAGCTATTGAGTGGCCGGGAAAGTCATGATGCATTTTTGCATAGAAAAACAAAAAAAATATGTCATGACTTTCCTGGGGACCTCAGAAATATTATTCTTAATGGTAATGTTAGGCATCTCTGGGAGGGGCAAATCAGCTTTTAAATAGATTTTACGTTACTTAAAAATACATTTTCAGTGTTGTATAACTATTTGTTATTGTAAAAATATTGGAACAGAAAAGAAGTGTATATACGTATATAGACTATATAATGTAGTGTATTATGTATATTTTCATATATGCGTGTGTATATGTATGAGAAAAAAGAAGTCTCCTTTTTCCTCCTTCTGTACTTATATATAGCGAGTTGTACTTCCCTCTTCAGAGTTCAATCTTAGTGATTTTACAGACCTTCAGATCCTTTTTTGAACATTTAGTGCTTTTAGTACTTTTTTTTATCAATTTGTGAATTCATAAAGTTCAGAAATGGCCATTCATGGTGTATGTGAAACTGCCATAATTACTTTGAAGTTTGATTCCTCCACTTCCCCCATGTTTTAGAGATCTTTCCACAGTGTACCTGGAAATCTAACATACTCCTGTTAGGCCCTTCATGGTATTCAGCAATATGAATGACCACAGTTTATTAGTCGTTTCCTATTAACAGTTGCCTTGGTTGTTTATCCAAAGTCCAGGTATTTCTCTAGGGTAGAGGTCTGGAACTAGGATTGATTAATCAATGGGTGTTTATTCAGTACATCCCAGATTTCATGGATACTGCCAAATTGCCTTTTCAAAAGGCTATACTAATTTAGTTCCATTAACAGTGTTTGAAAACACTCATCTCCTTACATCCTTGCCAGCACCAGATAATATCAGCCTTTTGACTTTTGCCAATGAGATGGGCAGAAAGTATTATCTGTTTTTAGTTTGCATTTCTCTGATTACCAATGATTTCAAGCTGATAACCTTTCTCTCATTCTAGTATGAAGAATCAAACTCTCTCTTCTTACTGAAAAGCATTTCTGTTGAGTAATCTTGTTTAAAAGAGTTCCATGAACTCTTTTTGTTTTTAATTGCTAGAGAGCTCATGCACTCAGCAGAGAGACAGAGAGGGAGAAAGCACACCCCAACACTCCACTCCCTTCTGCTTCCCACCTCCGCAGTGGGGTGTGGTCATGCTGCAGTCCCTTCTCTATTTCTCTATCCTATTGGAACCAAGAAGGAAAAATTTAAACCTGGTGTTTCAGTGTTTTGTGTTACTAACAAAAATACTTGAGACTGAGTACTTTATAAAGAAAAAGAAGTTCATTTGTAAGACTCATGATTCTGATAGGTAGAAAGTTCAAAGACATTACAAAGTAGTGGGAGACAGAACCCCAAGTAGAGTAGAGTGTGATCTGTATTTATATGGCTATGCCTGCCTCATTTTTTCTCCTCATATATAGCTTAGAACTGAGTCATGGGGCCATGCCCCCGTATTTCATTGTATGTAAAGGCCCTGCCCTGGAGCACCATGAAAGGACAAAGTTGTCCCTAATACTTTTGTGATAGTCGGTTCCCAGCACGTGAATTTTTGGAAAACACTCAATCACTGTCCACTAAGACCAAATTTCAGTGGTTTGAGGGACAAACCATCATAGAAACCATAAGAACAGGCATCACTATGGGTGAAATTGTATCAAAGGCAAGAATCCCGCTCGTGATGGGTGAAATTGTATCAAAGGCAAGAATCCCTCTCTTGACTCGTTTTTCTACCTAAACACCAGCGGGCAGAGAGTTAATGTACAGTAACGGTAGCTTTCATAAATCATAGTCGCTTAGAAGATTATAGGACAAAGGTACCCTCCCCATTCACAAAAACAGCAACAACAAAAATTAATAAAAAAAAAAAAAGTTTAAGAAATGTGTAAGACTGGCCCAGCTGTGGTAGTGCAATGTTAATGAGGATGTGGAGGGTCCTAGATGCACAGCAAGCATCTTAATAAGAAGGGATTGTCCAGGCACCAGAGAACGGCATAATGGTTACATTACTGGACTCCCATGGAGTCGATGGCTCCTGGACCCACAGGCTTAAAACTCATGCCGTGTGTGTGTGTGTGTGTGTGTGTGTGTGTGTGTGTGTGTGTACCTAATATCCAAAGAGGAGAATGGAGGAGAAGGGATTGTGGTGTGGCCATCCCTCCAGGCGGGGGCGGAGGTGGTGTTGGTGGTGGTGATTTCTCGCTTTCTGTCTCTCTGTCTTTCTGGTGAGCACTTACACCTTGTAGCAGAAATCTCTCTTAAAAAAAAAAAGGGGAGATCCTCCTAGGAGGATGACACTAAGCTTGCAGATCTTTAGGCTGCACTTTCTTGGCCATTCTTATTTTAGAGACCAGAGAGTTCTGTCAAATTAATTGACCATGTTTTTTTTGCTACCTGGGAGACATTGTAGATTAAAACAAAGTATATTTGTACACAGTTTTAAATGACTCACATCTGAAACAATTGGAATAGTAGGCTATTTCAGCAAGGTTTTCTTTTAGCATAATCCACAGGAAAGATAATATTTAACATTTTAAGACTTGCTTTGTAAAAAGACTTCCTTTTTTTCCCCAGAGATTTTTGGTATAGAGCACTTGCGCTTGCACGAGAGACAGAAAGTGAGAAATCCCCTCTGGGGTGGGGGATGGCCATGCTGCAGCCCCTTCTCCTCCATTCTTTTCTCAGGATTTTGAGCATGCATGCAGACACTCCAGGTGCGAGTTTCAAGCCTCCTGGTCCAGGACTTGAACTGCAGTTGATCCCCCAGGAGTCTAGCGCTTTAACCACTACTCCACCTGCTGACCCAAGACTTTAGTCAGCTTTGCACTAAGGCAGAAAGGCTGGGTTTTGGGCTTTTAGCTTATGTATATTCTATTTTTCTTTCTCATTTTAAAATAATATGTGCTTGTTAAACAGATTCGGTTAATAGAAAAATGATTAAAAACCAGGAATTGTTTTTAGTTACATTCATAACCCCTTTTTGTGTGTCTGGACATGCTATATTTTATTGGTTCACAGATGCATTTTATTACCCAGCATTTAAAAATCTTTAATATTTAGATATATCTTTCAACTGCTGCCAGTGAGGTAGCATTCAGCAGAGAGTATGATCAAGTGGACACGGGAACGTTGGCCATAATTTGTACTATCTTCACTTTGATTGAGTTATGTGCTTTCTTGATACTATATGGATTGAGTTTAACTGCTGTTAAAAGTAACACTGAAAAAGATTTACTGCATTTTAATAGCATCCCAGCAAGAAGTATAGAATAGCACAGAAAAGAAAGAGCAGGATATAGATCTAAGGGTTTAAGCAAATACAGTAGTCTGCCCTTATTCCTAAGGAATATTAGTTCCCAGAGTAGATTAGTTTCCAAGATTCCCAGCGCAGCTGGTCCTAAATTATATGTGTGTCTGTACGTACACACACTTGGTGTTTTTGATGTGGTAACTGAGGCAACTAAGTGACTAACAAGAGAGTAGCATTACAGGTGGACAAAGGAATATTTCATGTCCTGGGCATGAAATACTGGAGTGGGATGGAGCAAGGTTTAAAGCTAATGACTTGTTTATTTCTGGCATTTTCCACTTGATATTTTCAAACCACAGTTTCAATTGGGAAGGAAACTGTGGATAAAGGGAGACTACTGTATTCTTAGCTGGAAGGATGACCTCAGTTCTGCTTCTCTGCAAAGCAAAAGCCAGGTACTATATGAAATTAAGAAGAGGAGGTAGTCAGTGAGAAAATGAAGGAATGACACAGCTTACTCTTGAGTCATGTACAGAAGCTCTCTCTATCCGAAGCCTAGGAAAGCAGAAATTGCCATCTGTGGGCTAGAGTGACCAGGCACCAGGCAAAACTCTTGTTAAGGCATCATGTCATAGCTTTAATTGCTCATTTCTTCTTGTAAATGAATTTGATGAATTCAGTTAGCTCTTTATGTGTTCATATTGAATACATTTTTTATATCTGTTGGGATAGTCATTTGTTTTTTGTACTGTATTTTAATCTATGAGTACAACATTTTTTATTAATTTTTTTATTTATGTACTTTCTGATGCCAAACCATCTTGCATTCCTGGCAAAGCAACTTGCTGTTTTCTTTTTTAAGTTTATAATTATCTTGCTGATATCTTTTCAATTTAGTATATATATATCTACCGCATTTTTTTAACGGTTGCATTATTTTTCTGTTGTATGGATGTGCCGTAATTTTAAAATAGCTTCCTTATTGATGTGTGCGATTCTCATTTCTTGTTACTAAAACCAATGCACCATGAACATCTTTCTACGTAAACCTTTATACAGTTGCGTTTGTGTTTATAGTGAACAAATTTCTAGAAGTATATTTATTAAGTTCGTTTTCATTGTTTGATAACATGAAAGAAAGTTAAAAGTTAATTAAAAAAAAGTATTTTCTTAGCTGAGAAATGTCAAACTTTGTTGGAAAATATACTAACTAACATGTTAACAATGATTTTCTTGTGGTTATTAGCTGATGTCTTATTTGTAAAAGAATCTTTATTATTAAGAAAGATCTAACTTATTTTTAAACAGTAAATGCTCATGAAGCCAAATACTACTTTAGGAGTTATAGGGCTGTGAGCAATTGTAGTTGCAGATAATATGTCTAGCATAATGCAAAAGTCATAAAGTAAATGAAAAAGATGTTTGTAAAAGTAAGTTGACTGACTGAATGACATACAGATAACTTATTCCCAATCCTTTTCCAGGGTTTTTTGATTAACTCAAAACCAGAGAATGCCTGTGAACCCATAGTGCCTCCACCATTAAAAGACAATTCGTCTGGCACTTTCATCGTGTTAATTAGAAGACTTGATTGTAATTTTGATATAAAGGTACTGTTTTCTTTTTCCATTGTTTCATTTACTGTTTGCGACCCTTCAGTAAGTAGCTGATCCAGCCTGTATAACATCTATACCTACACCTAAATCTGCATTGACTCTGAGATTTCTCTTCTATCATAAATTAACTCTTGCATAGGGTTTGTCTTCTGAAGTGGGTTAAGCTGGCATTTTGGATAGGAATGCTTATTTTAAATTATCCTGTGGAAAGGGAAATTTCAGGCAGGAAATTTCAGGCAGTTTACAAAATTATTCAGATGAAAAAAGGAAGGAATGAGACAATGAGAACATGAGATGATGAAGACCAGAAAATCAGGAGGAGGTGTACTGAAGTCTAACACATTTGCTGCAAAATTGACTGCGAGCTTTTGGCAGCCAGTATAAAGAGGAAGTCATCGTGAATCTCATGAGTCACAGTCTTATTAAGATTGAAAATAAACTAGTTGACTAGGATATAAAATAACTACTAGCAATGAAAGAATTTGGACATCTTCAACTGTGGTTTAGTAGTGGACTCTTACATAATCTAATGTAGGAATGGAAACTTGACTTCAGTCTTCAGTAACATGGCTGACCCTTCCCATATTAGTACAGCTCCTCCACCCACATGCACGTTGACGCTGAGATTTCTCTTTTGACATCAGTTGACTCTGTTCCTGTATAAAGTTTGTCTTCCTCAAGTGGGTTAAGCTGGCATTTCAGATAGGAAAGTGCAGTTTGTATAGAACTTCCCTCTCTGTGGAACTTCCTTTTGTGTGGAACTTTCCTCCCTGGTGCTGCTCGAAATGTATGATTTTTCACAAGCCTGTTTTTGGATGCCTTAGTAAAAGAGCCACATTGAGGCCTGTATAAGACAAGCCTTGGTGTTACTTTCACTAGACGCTTCAGAGGCGTTATATACAGTAGTTCTGTGCGTGTCTTACACAGTAGACACGATGTTATTTCATATACTTTTCCGTAGCTTGATCTTAGACAGTTTGTTGAGTACGAAAGTTAGCACTGACTCCTGCTGTGTGTGAATTTTGGTCTCTGCTCCTTGCACTACATGGAATAAATGCCCCCTTCCATCATCAGCTTCATAAGAGAATAAAATAATGAATGCGAAGGGGTTTAAGAATGTAGAGCACTTTATAAATGATAGGTATCATTACTATCATATATTATTTCCAAGTCTGGGCTCTCAATTCCTTTTAAAAGGGGAATAAATTAGAACTTGAAGTCATATATACTAGATTTCCTGTTCCTCAGAGTTGTGTGTGTATTGGGTCGTGGGAAAAGTCAGGACACATTTTTGCATAGAAAAAACACTTAAAAATATGTCATGACTTTTCTGATGACTCAATAGTTTGAATTTAAATCATCATAAGATTGATCTAAAACTAAACTTATAATAATTACAGATGGTTTTGACCAAAGTAAAATATTATTGTAACAATTAATTGAAAGTAAGCTAGTTCTGTTAATTCCAAGGATTCTTGTACAATTTGCTGTGTAATTTCTGATTTAGCATCGTTTTTGGTAACTGGAAACGAAAAGCATTTTTTGTTGTGATTACTTCTTTTTTAGGTAGGAATAGGAGATGATTCACTTTGAGGGTTAGGGAATTACTGTCACTGAATATGTATGTTTGAGGTTGGACACATAGCTCTGGAATAAACAGGCAGGCTTCTTAGCGCATGAATTGGATCCTCATCATGAGCCCGCATCCTTCCATGGCGGCTTTCTCTTTCAGCCATGCCCCACCTGCTCATCTCCTCCTCCTGCCTTCACTCTCATGCTGCAGCCATAACACCACCCTTGGCTGGCTGTGCCGTGCTGACCGTACCTTTGTGTCTGTACACACACGATCTGCTTCATCCGAGATTCTGTCCAGGGTGATCTTTACTAGTCATCATCTGACTGTTTCATCCCGTGTGGGCCAGCTGAGCACGTTACCTCCTGTGGAGACTTCCACACCTTTTCTTGCAGATCGGATTATTCCAGCACAGTGTACACCCTGCCACTTTGTGAATGTCGGGAGAATCATGACATATTTTTCTGTTTTTCTATGCAACAGTGCATCGTGACTTTCTCAATGATCCGATACTTCTCTTATTGGTCTTTATCACAATTCTTTTTTTATTATGTGTATTTTAAGAAATCGTTTCACTTATTTGTAAGCTTATGTTGTGTATTCATGTTTTAACAATATTTATATGTCCGGTTTGTTTCATAGGACATAGTAGGCGTTTATTAAATCAAGCTAGGTAATAGGAAAAAGCCTTCTGCTTATGTGTATAGTGCCGTCTTTAAAAAATGTAAAAAGTTTAAATAGAATCATTCTTGTGTTAGAAAGGAAGATGTTAAAAAAATGTCCCATTGTATCTCACCATGTAGGCATGGTCTTAATGGATAAGGATCTAATTGATTGTATATGTTCTTTAAGTTATTTTTCCTTTAAGGCTAACAATGATTTTAATATTTACTTAGGGCTAAAGATTCCTATGTCATTCCAAAAAATTTTTGTTTTTGATTCAGTCATACTCAAGTCAGAGGATATCAGTGTACATTAGAGACACGGGCATTATAATTAAGGTCTGGAAAGAGGTTGTGTGCATCTTAATCCCCCCTTTATCTGTTACCAGCAGTGTGATCTTGGGCAAGTTATTTTGTGTGCCCTAATTTCTTTATTTGTAAAATAGGAGCTACAGATGGAATATCTCTTATCTGAAATGCTTGGGGCCAGAGTGTTTCTGATTTTGAATGCTTTTGAATTTTGGAATATTTGCATATACATTACAAGATGTCATGGGGATGGGCCCACGATATCTTTATTCACTATAGTCTTCAGATCAAAATCTCAGACTGCATTTTCTGAGCTGCTAAATTGGGACCCAGATCTAAACACAAAACTCATTTATGTTTTATATACATAGCCAGGATTTTATGAAATATTTTGTATCACAACATTTTGACTGGAGGTCAGAATGGGATTTTCTGCTTCTAATGTCATGTCAGGATTCAAAAAGTTTTGGATTTTAGAGCATTTCACATTTCGTGTTTTCGGACTAGGAGTACTTAACCTGAATAATGTTCCCTACATCATAGGATTGTTGTGGGGATCAAACGAAATAATCAGTGTTAAATGCTTATCAGACAATACCTTGTACATAGGAAGGTGGCAATAAGTGGTAACTTGATATTTTACACTTCTTGCCAATAGAGTTGAGCAGAGTAAGAGTAGAGATGGCGAAGGTGCTGACTCTTCAGAAATTAAATTACTGGCCAGATCGCACTGTGACACAGTAACAGTGTCAGCTGATGTGTGAAATTGATCATTTCTTTTACAAGCTACAGTTTAGTTGTGCCAGTGTGTAATGGATAAAATAGAAGTTTTATAAATTTATAAGGGTCGGAATTATGGATCACTGATTTCAAGGTAATATGAATGAGTATAAAGTCATGGTTACTGGAAAGTTTTGTTTCTGGGTAGTTATTGATGATAAGCTGTCAGCTCCCATAGCTGTAATCTTCACGTCCAAATTCTTTGACTGTATCTTTTGAACTTCCAAAATGATGAGTATATACTTGTATTAAGTATGTTGTGGAATCTGATATTTATAATGTATAGTACTTAATTTTCAGAATTGCAGATAAATGTCTTTTAAATAAATAAATGCCTGTAGATAATCAGTGGTGGTTCATTCGCCTATATCTGCAATTTCGTATGACTGCATTTACTTAAGAAAATAGCTAGGAAAATGACACACAGTAGTTCGCTCTTATTTGTAGGGGATACAGTCCAGGATCTCCAGTGAAACTATGGATGTTACTGAACTCTATGCTGTTTTCTCTATATATATGCATCCCCATCGTAACATTTAACTTATAAGCTAGGCACAGTAAGAGATGAACAATAACTAATAATGAAGTAGAACAATTATAACAATATATTGTAATAAAAGTTGTATGAATATAGTCCTTCTCTTAAAATATCTTATATTGTACCTACTCACTTGTTTTCAGACCATGATTGATTGGGGCAACTGAAACCATGGAAAGGGAAACCGCTCATAAAGGGGCACGACTCCGTATTTTATTCTGTATGCCTACTGGATCTGAACGCTAAGGAGGGCTTAATTCAGGACCACAGGTAGTGCTATAGATGATAGCAGTTGCAAGGTAATCTATTTGCACCCCTCCTATCCAAATTATCTCGGAGAAATGAGAATTGGCTCTATATTCCAAAGTTTTTCTTGAAGAAAGGGAACCTTTCCATTGTAGACGGTGAACAGTAAAGACGCAAAGAATAAAAATTCAGTATGTTTTGGATAATGGTGGTATTTCAAGATTGATTGTTTTGCCGCTCTTTAGATTTTTTTTGAAGATTAATATTGTACTATAACTAAAGAGACCTATACTTTACTAATTTCTTCCTTATAAATGATGAAGCGAATTTTATGTGCTACAGTAAAAGAAATGGCAGATTTTCTTCATTTGAACCATCCCAAGTGATTTGTGACTCAGAAATAGCCATTAAGACAGCAGAAATGTAATTAAGAATTCTTGGAGGGAAGAGAATTACTTTCTAAACAGAAAGCATGGTTGGAGTTTCTTAATCTTCTGAACCTATCTTATATTTGAACCTATCTTAAGCTGGAGAGACGCAGCAGAACCCATGCCCAGAGTCAGTAGTTGGCTATGTTGAATTCCAAAAGGCCAGTAAGAGAAACTATTGATTCACAGCTACTCCTGAAAACAATCTCTTACACTGACACTGACAGAAACTGTATCCTCTGAAAAATACAGCTCTTCAGAGAGAAAGCAAAACAATGCTATTTTGTTTGTCTTTGTACAATGCTGTTCTTAACTGTAACAAAATATAACTGTTTGGAAATGTTAGGTTTTGGTGCGCATTTGTAGTTACAAACATTGTGGACTTTTTAATGAAAAAATTAAGGCTATATTAAATCCTTTAGTTGGAAAAAGTGACTTTGAAACATTCTGAAGGAGAG